TTTGGGAGGACCCGTGGATTCCAACTCAATTCCCGAGATCAGCAAAAAGTAATGGTTCAATTATTGACCCATCTTTGAAAGTCATAAATCTTATCGACAGTCGGTCAAATTTTTGGAACATTGATCTCTTGCAAGAGCTCTTTGATCCAGAAGATGTCGCGTTGATTAGTGCCCTGCCTTTGGGTACGCCACCTATGGAGGATTCCCTTGGTTGGCATTTTACTAAATCCAGAAAATATACAGTTAAATCTGGTTATCATATGGCGCGGCTAGAGAATTTGGAAGGCAATTTATCATTTTTGGTCTGGATTTTAAAGCTCTAAAAGCATATACTTGGAAGGTGCATTGTCCGCCTAAGTTACGTTATTTTTTGTGGCAAATTTTATCGGATTGTGTACCGGTTACAGAAAATCTGAGGAAAAGAGGAATAAATTGTGACACGGGATGTAGCAGATGCGGTGCGATAGAGGAATCAATTAACCATACACTTTTTGAATGCCACCCAGCGAGACAAATTTGGACACTTTCTCAAATTCCTACGGTTCAGGGAATTTTCCCTACGGCCTCAATTTACGCGAATTTGGATCACCTTTTTTGGAGAGTTCCTTCATAGGTAGACTCTTCTCCATATTCATGGATAATTTGGTATATTTGGAAAGCTAGAAATGAAAAGATATTTGAAAATATGGATAAAGACCCATTAGAGGTTTTACGGTTAGCGGAAAAAGAGGCTTATTCGTGGCAGTTAGCTCAATTAGAGCTTTTTACTGAAAATCATGGTTCTTTTTGCGAATCTCGAGTTCAAGTGAGAGAATTTTCCCAAGATACTCTCTACTCCGGATATCGTTGTTTCGTGGATAGATCATGGAAAGAGACTGATAAATTCTCAGGAATAGGGTGGTTCTGCATCTCATCAAATGGAGAGACGCCAACTATGGGAGCTGCCAACATCCGAAGAAGTCTTTCTCCACTACATTCAGAAGTGGAAGCTCTTCTCTGGGCGATGAAGTGTATGATTGGAGCCGACAACCAAGAAGTAGCTTTTTATACAGATTGTTCAGACCTGGTGAAGATGGTGTCTTTCCCAACCGAATGGCCGGCCTTCTCAGTGTATTTAGAAGATTTGAAGAGAGACAAGGATGAATTTTCAAGCTTTTCTTTATCTTTAACCCCTCGAAGTGCAAATGTAAAAGCGGATAATTTGGCGCGAAAAATTCGCACCGAACCGCATCATATTACCTATGTAAACAACATTCCTCATGAATGCTTCTTCTAAGTTTTTATTTAAAAGCTGTTGACAAAAAAAAAAGGGCCCAAACAATTATTTTTTAGTATAGATATACCCAAATATATTAAAATTTTAGTATATATGAAGGGTCCAAATTTTTCTTTTGTCCTAAGGTTCTAAAAATTGTTGGGCCACAAGATTTCATAACCAGACCAGTGAAGATCAAAAAATGAAATATCATTTATTATTATTATTACTAGGACTTAGACCCCCCGCGATGTCGCGGGGAAAAGATTTCAAAAACTTTTAAGGAAAAAAATATCAAACGAAATATCATAATGAATTGAGACAACAAGTTTGAAAATAATTTTTTTTAACAATAAATAAAGCTAAATTTTACAAAAAGAAATATGATAAAGAAACGTAAACCCTCAAAAATATTTTTTAACATTTGTATTATTGTAAGAAAATATTATGATGAAAAGATGCGATAATAAATAAAAATATTAAACAAAAAGTTATAATGAGTAGATCAATTTTTCAATTTTCTAAACTATTATAAATATAACTATAAAAATGTATTCATCAAAAGATTACAATAAAAGACGTAATATTTTAAATTGTATTATGTTAAAAAAGAGATAATTTTCGAAAATTTTAAAACAATAACCAAAATAGATAATTATTTAGAAAAAAAATAATAATGATATAGATAACAAAGTATATTTATGCTAAATAGAAAAAAAATGTAACTTTCTATGAAAAATATCAAACAAAAAGAAATAATAAATTTATACCACTTATTATTTTTAAATATATATATATATATATATATATATATATATATATAGCTAAAAAGACATAAAAGTTTAAATAGAAAAAATTGTTTGTAAAAGACACAATTATTGGAACCAAGTGTTTGTGATGAAAAACACCAATAAAACATGGTGACAAGATAATACTCTAAATGAATAGATATAACTTTAGTTAATATTTTGTTAAAAAAAAATGCTTTAGTTAATGCTCTCAAAAATGTATTACAATAGGCAATATTACAACGGTTCATCAAATATACCTAAAATTGTAATAATTCATCAAATAAAATATGTTGCAATGGTCCATCAAATATATCAAATATTGTAACGGTTCATCATATAAACCAAAATTTACAATGGTTCATCAGATAAGCCAAAATGTTCATTGGTTCGTAAAATAAACCATATGTTACTATGTTCTATTAAACGGTAGCAACATATTCATTTAAATAGTAATTAAAATTAAAAATTTGATGAAGAACTATAACCGAAAGACGCGACCGTAGATATCATATATAGTAAAAGTTGCAATCGTTTGTCAAATATACCAAATATTCAACGATTCGTCAAATAAACTAAAGATTACAACGGTTCATAAAACAAAACCAAAAGTTGCAATAGTTTGTCAATTTAACCAAATGTTGCAACGGTTCAATTAAACGGTTATAATTTTATTTAAATATATTTTAGTAACTAAAATTGAAATAATAGTTTATTAAAAGTTATATTGAAAGACGTGACTGTAGATAATTAAATGTAATAAAGGTTTATAAAATAAACCAAGAGTTGCATTTGTTTGTGAAATAAACTAAATGTTGCAATGGTTCAACTAAACGGTTGCAATCTTTATGAAAAGTTATGATAAAATAAATGCAACTGTAGAAGACATTTATTCGGATTGTAACTTTCTAAAAAAAAATCAACTGTAAAATATATATTTTTAGTTTTAAAAAATTAAATATATTAACAATTTTAAAAATAAATCAAAAATTATAATTGTTCGTTAAATAAAGTAAATGTTGCAATGGTTCAACTAAACAATCACAATTGTTTATGATGTATTACAATAAAAAGATGCAATCGTAGAAAGTATTTGTTCAGATTGCAACTTTTTGAAAAAAAACAACCGTTAAATATATATTTTAGTTAAATACCAAAATTTAAATCTATATAATATGGGACGTAACTTTAAATGAATAGATGCAACTGTGAAGACACAACCGTAATTTCAAAAGATACGACTGTAATTGAACAAATATACCTGTAAAAAATCGTAAATATGTTAACTAGATGCAACTATGAAGACATAAGCCTAAATTGAAAAGATACAACAATAATTGAACAATTATAATTGTAAAAAAAAACCGTAAATATGTTAACAAAGAGATGCGATAAAAAAACGTAACCGTAAATATTTCAACGAAAAGATGCGATAAAAAGACATAACTGAAAAAAATAACCGGGAAATATTTAAACGAAAGGTTACCATAAAACAACGCAACCGTTCAGAGGTGCAAAAGGTATTTATTGAGATTGCTATTATATATAGATTAGAAGTAATATTGATATTCAAAGTTTCGGAAAGGTTACAAAACACAAGAAAAAGACGAGAGTGAAATTACAGAGAAATACAATGATCTTCCATAACCTACGACTAGAAGAGGAAAGAAAATTTTCGATTACATTGCATAAACCAAACACATCTTGTCTCGAGACTATCGAACCTCTCGAAACTCACCATAAGGATTTCTCGCATTTCAAAATATGAAAACGGGCTTCAACACAAATGGCAAAAACAAGTGTGTGGAACTTGGTCTTCTCCGCATAAGATGCATCTTCTCTATGAGTGCTTATGTCACGGTTCTCCCGGATGAACCGTAGAATAATCGAAAACCACTTAGACCTTTCACCACCACAACGATTAAGACCTAAAGCAACGCATTGCTTAATACTAACCGAGATAAATCCCAGACATAACCAAAGCTCAACTCCAAACTAACGAGACTAAATAAGCCGGGGAAGAGAAGCTTAGCCCAAAAGAGGGAGACGTCAGCCCAAACGAGAGAAACAATTAAAACTAAGCATCTGATGTTACCAGATCTCACACGGATACAATCTGATCAGAGCAAATAGGCTAAACAAGGAGGAAGACAGTAAAGACGAGTGAGATACCGAGAAAACGAAGAATCGATCTAATGTTGCATAGGATCGCCAAGGAGAGAATAGAACGAGCCGTCGCAAGAAGAAACATGAGTCCCCCATGTCGCCTTGACTCATCGAAGCCAACCACCTGAAAGAACAGAACCTTACCGTGGCACCACTCCATGACCCGCGAACAAAGATGGCAACCCGAGCACACTAGCAACCAACAGATCCGACAGATCTAAAAGCCATGGCCAAATCTCACTAGATTAGATTCTCGAACTCACCACTCACCATCGCAAAAACCTTCACGCTTCTTCACCAAAGGAGCCAAAGACAGGAAATGAAAAAACTAAGCGAAATTATAAAGGAGATGACCAACGCCGGCGCTCTATGAGCCGCCATGCGCCGGTCATAAATTCAACGGCAACTTTGTGTTAAGACAGGAGGCGAGAGAAAATAAAATTAAGACGAACCAAAAAATAAAATATCTAATTTGTTTTTTTTTATGTATCTCGTAAATTAATTACCGTCACATTTACCATATATATGCCCTAGTAATTCTAGCTTAATATCTTCTCCGCCGGTGGTTCCTACCATTCTTTCTTCAAGATATGAGTGGCAACACCAGCCTTTTTAGCATTCTTCTAATTATATAGATTTGATTCTATAAAAATACAAAATCTCTTGTAATTTTCAAATTTATTATATATTTTACCCAAAACAACCCAAAAATAAATGCAAATGAAAGCGTGGCACTGAAATTAAAAAATATCTTACCACATTTAAAACAAATAACCAGATTCAGTGAATTAACAGAAACGGATGGTTAAGTGCTTAAAGAACACAACATAACACTTTTGCTTAAGCCAATATTTGTCTTTAACCCACTTTCCCAGAAACTTCAAAAACAGTTGGAGGAAGAAGAAGAAGAAGATGAAACGACGAAGAACCCTTTTAAAAAGTCTTAATCTTTAAATCCAAGATCTGCCCTTTTTCCAGATTCTCTATCTCAAGCTTACCCGATCTTGTCATGTATTGAAGCCGGATATAGAGATGTTGTGCTTGAAAGGTTCGGTTAAGCGGAAGAAGCAATCCGGTTCTGTTCCGGTTTATCTGAATGTCTACGATCTAACTCCTATGAATGCTTATGGTTATTGGCTTGGACTTGGTGTTTTTCATTCTGGTGTTGAAGGTTAATTGATGATTTCTCTCTTTTTGTTTTCTGGGTTTGTTTTATTTGTTTGAATCTAATTGTTTTGGTTGCTAAAGAAAGTTACTTTATGGTTTTTTGAAGCTAGATTTGTTGAGAATTTTGTTGGGTTAATAGAGAATTGACTTTGGTCCTTATGAGAATTGACCAGAGTACACCAAAATCTCAAATTTTGATTCTGATGATGATAAGAATTTGATTTTATTGTTCATGGGTTGAGCAAAAACCAATTTTTATATGAATTGTGATACTGAATTTTGGGGTTTTAATGATCTGTTGTTATCAATTTCTGAAACAAAATCTGTTTGTATGTTTAGAATGCCTTTTGTGTAACCATAGTTTGTGATGGACTCATTGTGTTGGTACTTATCTAATGTTATGTAGTTCATGGAGTTGAATATGCATTTGGAGCACATGAATCATCAAGCACAGGTATATTTGAAGTGGAGCCAAAGAAGTGTCCCGGTTTCACGTTTAGGAAATCGATTCTTGTAGGGAAAACAGACTTGGTTGCGAAAGAAGTTCGAGTCTTTATGGAGAAATTAGCTGAAGAGTATCAAGGAAACAAGTACCATCTCATCACAAGAAACTGCAACCATTTTTGCAATGAAGTTTGTCTTAAACTTACTCAGAAATCAATCCCTAGATGGGTGAACCGACTTGCTCGCTTAGGTAAACCAATCATAAGTGAATATTGTTATATGTTTGCTTCGATTTGCCGTGAGAAAGATCATCTAGTAATGCAAAATGTTATGTTTTCCTCGGGTTTGTGTAGGGGTTCTCTGCAACTGTGTGTTACCACCGCGTTTAAACGAGGCAAAAGTGAGGCGGGTAGGAAAAGGAGAACTTACGGAGAGTGAGAAGAAGAAACTAAGAAACCGATCACGATCAGGTCCTTTACTGTCTTCTTCTTCATCTTCATCGACACCTGATAATCATCGTTCACACATTCGAGGAAAATCAACTGGTAACAATCCTTCTTCTTCTTCTTCTTCTTCGACATCGGGTTCTAAGAAAAATCAAAGACCTAGAACTCAAGACCAGACGTCGCCAAGCGTAAGCATCAAGACTTGATTCTTATCATCATTATTTGAACATTTAATTATTGTTTATGAAAAGGACAAAAAGTAAAAAGACAAGACAGAAGAACATGCCAAGTAAAGTATCAATCATACATGGGCATGCTCGTGCTTTGTTCTAAGGTTATTTAAAACCTTATTGGAGTGTGTAGCTTATAGGAGAGAGAGAGAGTGAGAGGTTATGATTATGTACAAAAAGAATATGATTCATATATTTTTCTATGTTTTATCTCACATTTCAATTTCTTTATTTCAAAGTTTTAAACACATTCATTTTTTTTTTGTATCACAATGGATCACTAAAAAGATTATTTAATTCCTTGGATGTATATTTTATGTAGCTGTTGCTTCTTTAGTATCTGATTAGGTTCTTTCTTAGGCTTTAAATTTCATCAAATAAAGTTGTTTGGCTTAATTAAAACACTCAATTATCTTGATAATGTTCTCTGGGTTAGTCTCCAATGGTGACTCTTTGTGGGTTAAATGGTCAAGAATGAATATACTCAAACAAGAGTCTTTATGGTCAATCCGGACTAGCCTCAGGTTTAGGATCATGGATGTGGAAAAAGCTGTTGAAATATAGAGATGTTGCGAAGACTTTCTGCGAAGACTTTCTGCAAAGTAGATGTACAAAATGGAGAACTCACTTCGTTTTGGTTCGATGGTTGGTCGGGAAAGTTGTTTGGCATTGGGTAGAAGTGTTAAAAATGACATTGAGGAGGCATTGCCATAGAAATATCAAACTCGCAACATAGAAAGGAACTATATCGCCTTATGGAGAGGTAAGGGGGATGTTTACAAAGCTTGTTTCTCCACAAAAGACACATGGAACAATATTAGAACAACATCAAATTAGGTGGCTTGGCACAAAGGAGTTTGGTTCCTACACTCGACACCAAAATATTCTTTTTGCGCCTGGTTTGCTTCACACGACTAAGAAGCTTCTGTCGATGCTCTGTATTTATCTAAAGCTCTGTTTAAACATTTCTATATTTCTTTCAAAACTCAAAAACAGCTGATGTAGGAAGTTATTTTTTCTTTGAATATAATTTAATATTCAATTCAGGAACAAAAAAGAAAAAAAAAAAGAAACAACGTTCTTGAAAATATTATTTTTCTCGGGTGTAAAAAATTATTATTGAATGATTTTCATCTCACAAATCTACAACTAGATTAATAGCGATATTAACTGCGATGTGTCCATGAGAACAAACATTACATTTTGTATCATGATAGATTTGGTGAAGATGATGTGATGGTTGTTGTTGTCCATTCTTTTGTTTTCAGATCTGAATGTAGTAAACAATTATTATTGTTCCACATATGGTAGATTACTTCATGGGAACACTGATTGAAGATTGGGGATTACTGATTTTTTATTGTCGGTGAGATCTGATTTACCATACAATTAAGATATATAAGAGAGATCGGGACATATGAAACTGGCACATATTTCATGGACCAAGTCTATCTAAAATAGAATTTAGAGAAGGAGCACAATGATTAAGACATCCGAAATTGAATTAAAGATGCATATTGAAAAGGGCAGATAACTTGTTAGTTAAAAGATGAGGACATGAATTTTATAAGGTGATGAATCATATACAACTTTTTGACGCTTTAAATGTTAAGTTTCATGGGCTTTCAACTCAAAACCAATTGGCAATGAGTGGATTGACCCAAGTCCTTAATATACTACTCAAGTCCCTTCTCATCTTTTGAATGTGGGATCTTTCTCCACACGCCCCTGTGGAAGTCGGATTCACACACTCAAGTATTTTATTAAGCGGGAAAGATTATTCTTGAGGGACAAAAATGAATGTATAAAAAAAACTTATGAATTGTTACAAAAATTGATATAGTATTTCTTTCTCGAGAGGAAGCTCTCCTTTACATGGCCATTGGCCTCTATATTTATACATAGATAAACGACATTAAAATGAGTAATTAAGTACAATTATTTCTTCTTAAATGTGTCCGTTTTGATTCTTCGGCTTTAATGCTCAACGTTTGAATTTGAGTTGACTCTGATCTTCATGGGCCTCGCCTCTTTTGGCCCAAGTGTCCTTGAACCGACTTACCCGTGTCTTCTACACCGAACTCGTGTCACAGTGCAGTCACTTCGGATTCTCGAAATGGTGACAACCACTTCGACCGTCCCTTCGGCTCACGGGTCCAATGGGCTTCATCCTTTATGGGCCATTATCCTGATTACGTGGCAATCTTTGGTTGGTCTCGTACTTCTGGTGCGGGATCCGACACCAACAATTAGCCCCCCAAGTTCTTCGAAGTGCTATTCCAATTCGGAGGACTTTAAATGCTCAAGTGGCCAAAGATTGCGCTCGAGAATCTTTCTGATTTCCCGCCGAAAAATCTCATCACTCCTTTAATTTCGGCACTAGCCATTTTTAACCGAGTGACATCTGTCATCATTATGACCGTATATTGATTAATTACTATTAAAACGGGAAAAACCTTCCCACTTCCCACACGACTCCCGAGGCGGTTTCATCATTAGCTTGAGGTAACTTCTTTTCACCATTACTCTCTTCTTTTACTTTTGTACTTTAATCAAAACCTCTCTCTTCGTTCCTTCACCAAAACCCTTCTTCGCCGGATCTTGAATTTTTCTTTCTTCCCAATGACTTCTGATTCCGATAGACCCGAGTCTCCGTCTTTCGACGAGAGGCGTTCTAGTAACGACGAGTGCACCCGCCCTGGTGACATTGCCGGTCCGCACTATAGGTCCACTTGTACTCTTCAATCCCTCGAGCGATTGAGAGAGCTTTGCCGGATTCCGCCGGAAATTATGGCGGAAGCACAAATAGCTTCCCCCACAGAATCTCCAGAGAACCATCGCGATGGTTACTTCTGTGTGTATGAGATTTATTTCAAGGGTTGCGGGCTGACCTTTCCTCTTCCCGAAGCCCTAGTTTTATACCTAGCGGCTCTTGAAATCGCTCTTCCTCAATTAACCCCCAATCTTCTTCGTTCTATTCTTGGCATTATAACAATCGCGGCGGAGGCCGGTTACGTTATCGGAGTTGCTGAACTAAATGAGCTTCTGAGTGTGAGAAGTTCATCGAAGAAAGCGGGGTACTTCTCAGCATATCCTAATGCCAACAGGAACATCATTTCACATCTTCCGAACAAGGATGAAATTGGCATCATCCTTGGTTTCTAATTAAGACACTCCCGCTTCGATTGGAATCTTGCAGATTTCTTCCTTCGAAGTGGTCTGCGAAACCCGGTAGTGATTAGATTGCCCGTATCTTTCCCGGTTGTTTCTTTATCTTTA